CTTCGGTCCGATGCAGTTTCTGGACTTTGGCCTGATGCAGTGGGCAAGGCCTAATATGTGTTTATACGTTATTGTATGGTATGTGGTAGTTTAGGGGAGCTCACTAAGCATCGTTCTTACAGTTTCAGTTTTGGTTTCAGGTACTCAGTTTTCAAAAGAGGAGCTCGGAAAGATTGCACTGCGCACACCATTTGTTCAGCCTGAGGTGTTTATACTCTGATATATTTGATAGTTGTTATGATAATTTTGAGATACATAGTTTAATATTCTTATATGACGTTTGTTGAAGATGTTTTTATTACCGATTTAAAAAGAAATTTTCAGACTGTATTTTTGAGATGTTACAAGTATATATAACATAAATATACATTCCAAAATATTATCAATTTGCCACCGCTTATATTAGGTTCAATTAATATATTGCTCTATTTATCCACCGAAATTATATTAATTAAATGAAGTAGTCTAATTCAGATATTAGCCAACAATTAATTCATTGCTTTTAAGCTAAAACCAATGATACCATAAACGATTAAGCACTTTAATAACTTATAAATGTCTATGCTTCTCTTAAACTTCTTTTAAAGGATAATAGGATATTATCCCACAAAATGTTGGTAGCTTATTTACTTTTCAAATAAATCCATGCCATATTCAATATCGAATGAATTTGATATAACACTGTTAAACCATTTTTGTGCACGATTTAAGAAAAAAATATTTTCACCACTTGAATGCACTAATGGGTAGTTTAAGAAAGCAGGGTCAAATCCTCATAGATAAAGCCTAATGGTTATACATAAGGTACATACCATTTATTTAACAGAAAATAATAACAAGGGGGTTTCTAATTTAAAACTAAAATTAAAATTGTAGTGAAATTAATTAAATGAAATCAATAATAACAATGAATTCCATTCTACAACGATTTTTTTAGCCATGCAATCAACCCAGATCTGGTTATTTAAAATGCGTTATATTTAAGCTGGTACTGATAAAAACTAACAATATTTACTATAATCTCTTTTACCTAGGTAAATTAACCAAAACAAGCTCTTTAGTTAACCCTCACTTTTTACTAATCTAATTAAACAAGTTCTTAATTAAATTCAGAAAAGTTGTATTAAGATCTGTGTGAAATTCTCAGCATTACCTAACACTTCTCACAAGCTCGGAAGCATAAAGATATGAAATTTCAGTTTATATTAAAACCAATTCAAAACATAGAATCGATTTACTACTTGTTACTTATTACTAGATTGTCAAAACAATTACAGATTTCAACAACTGGTTAACTGGAATTGTTAAACTCTAGCTAGGTGATCAGACTAACAATAATTAAAAATCAGACATTCATTAAGCTCAAAACAAAAACAAGTAGATAGAAGCACGCAATGAAAACTAAATCTGATAACTAATCACATGAAAAGTGTTAGTCTATTCTAGAACTAAAAACTAGGGTTTTAGCAACACATGGCTAAAATCTGATTAAAACTAATAAAAAAAATACTAACTAATTAATGTTGCTAAAATAAATGTAGGAGATGATCCATAGCCTTCTGATCTTCAAAAAGTGATGAAAAGTAGTAGAAATCACCATTAAAAGGGTTTTTTGTCCTCTGGAATCGTCTCCTCTTCAATCTGATCAGAGGCATCGTATTTGTTTGCATGGCAGAGGGTTTTGGAGCAAGAAAAATAATCCACGATCATGTATATCAAAATATGCGATCAAATTTTTCTCAAGTTTTTCCGGATTTGCCATTTAATGAAGTATGATGATGTTTCTAGCCTATTTTGAGATTCGACACAAAAATGAGATCATATATGTGATCGCGTTTTTTTCCCGATGATCACATTATTCATTTTCCTTCCTCACATGATATTTTTCTTACTCTACGAGACCTAAACACCTTTATGTGATCACAACAGTGCAAAAATGCGATCACAATTTTGTTTTTTGTTGCGAACCGATCGTAATTCTTTCATTTAAGCAATCTAAGTCTTTCCTCAACATCCTTCCTCATTTTCATTTCCAATGAATCTCCAAATATGCATCCAAGCAATTCCCAAAATACCACTCAATTGAAATTATCTGAAAATGACATAAAAATATGAGTAGTACGAGAATTCTAACGATAAACATGAGTTGAACCTTATTTAAACTAATGACATGGAAATTTGTAAAATATAATGTTAAGTGCTGATAAAAATGTTGGATTACGCATCTAAGCCCATAACTATAATTGGTATGTAGTTGAATTGATAATGACATGGTCCTTTTGGGATGCCTTCACACGTGCAACTAGAAAGGATGATTAATTAAGGAAGAGGAAGAGTTTATTATTTTGACTAATAAATTGGAATATATGATTTATTAATATGTTATAGAAATAATATATTAATTATTAATCATATTATTAATTAATATTTAATCAGAAATTAATTTGGAATTAATGTTGGAATTAAATGAATTAATTAAAAGTGTAGGGACTAAAAGTAAAATTGGTCAATAGTTGAGCGAAAGGATCCAGAATCTTCCTAGGGAAGGTGGTGGACAAAATTGCATGTATATGTAAGATTATTATAGAATTTCTAGAATATCATATCATATATGGATAATCAAAGGAGGTAGATACCAATCATATTTGATATTAAGGTTACCCATAGCATCCTTGGTACATTATAAATAGGGTCCTACGCCTGTAGAATTTGGACCACGTTTTTAGAAGAAGCAAGAACCAAAATTTTGATCTCCTCATCTGCCATATCATTCTCTTGCATTGTGTGTTTGTGAGCCACTACAGGTGTTACACTTGTGTCACTAAGTTCTCAAGCTTCAAGATCTACAAGGGAATCATTGTTATTAAAATATAACAATCAAGGTATGTAACTTAACCCTAGTTATATATAGATTTCAAAAACTGAAGACACTTCCTAGGGTTTCTCCTTTTATGTTCAAGTTTGCATGTTCAATTAGAGAAAACCTAGATCCGGAGCATTATTGTTGCATGCACACATAGGAAATGTTGTTATGCTGAAAACCTATCAAATAACATGGGTAAATCGCACAAAAGACACTAAGTTTACAGCAAAAATTCTAATTTGACACCGTGTTTTTTTTATCTCAAATTGACACTGTATTTTCTAAAAAAAAAATTATAATCCTAACCACTTGACCGGTTAACCCGGTTACCTGCTGACGCCTCATGATGACATGTCATTTTTTATGATGTGGCATGCTGACATAACATGTTGACGTATCAAAATTGAATTTTTTTCACACAAAAAATAGTAAGTTTTTATTTTTTTGATTCAGACACCAAGTTTAGTTTTTTTTTTTTTTTAAATTTTGACATTGGTTTTTTTTTTTGTTCCAAATCGATCATCATGTTTTCGAATTTTAGTCAGCGTTGACTATTTTCTATTTGAAACCGTTTAATTTTTTTAATATATATTAAGTCGTATAAGTATATTTTTTTCTTTAAAAAACCATTTGTTGTATAAACACAAGGTTTTTTTACATTAAAACCATAATTTTATGTGTAAATATGTATTAATTATTTAAAAAAATGTATATTATATTGAATACGCAACTTTAAAATGAGTTTAGTGGATTGGAGGCGTGTAGTCGATCAAAAACCCAAAGGTCAGGTTGGCAACCCATGAAATTTTTACAACTTAGTCGAAACTTATGGTTAGTTTGGTTATCATGATATAATTAATACGTATTTATGTACAACATTATTCTTTGGATGTAAAATAAAAAAATAAATAATACTTATATTTATATAAAAATGTGGTTTTTAAATGTAAAAATGTATTTATACAGTTTAAAATGTAATAAAAACATATTTAGATGGTTTTAATTGAAAAAATGGTCAACATCGAACAAAACTGAAAAAATTGATGTTTGATTTGTAGCAAAATAATAGAGCATTAAACACTACTAGAAAAACAGCCTTTTACGACGCTCATTGCGCGTCGTAAAAGGCTCAGACGACGCGCAAATGCGCGTCAAGGAAGACCCTGTCATAAAGAGAGACGACGCGCTTTTGTGCGTCATCTATAGGCGACGCGCTTTTACGACGCTCATTTACGATGCACAATTACGACGCGCGTGTACGACACACAATGCGTATCAAGGAAGACCCTATCATTAAGGAAGGCGACACGCATTCGCGTGTCGTAACCTTACAACGCACGTGTTAATAACACGCAATGCGTATCAAGAAAACCCCTGTCAAGAAAGGCCATGTCATAAATGAAGATGACACACATTTTTGAGTATCATAATGTTAAATGTTTAAAAAAAATATTATTTATAGATTTACTAATTTTCAAATTAAATAATACATTAAAAATCTCATAATACAAAATAAAATACAATAAATAACAAAGATAATTTATTTCACTAATATGTAAAATACAAATAATTATTCCAAAAGTGAGTAAATGTTATAAAAAAATGAACTCATTTATATACAATTGCATCATCTAGCTTACTATGTGCCAACAACTCCCTGGGTGTTTACTTTTGCTTGAGTCTCGTTTCCTCCAAAGCTTCTAGCCATGCCAAAATATGATATCTTGAGTCTCGTTTCAAGAACCAAAATCACCTTCAATCACCCAATTAAATTCTCCTTTCTTATTACATCCATCACCTTCATCAAATAAACATAAAATGTAAATTCTCCTTTCTTATTATGAAGTATGTTATATTCATCAATGAAGTATTTCTTATTATGCCTTTTATTGTCTCTTTATGTCTTCAATATCATCAACGGCAGGATTTAAATTTATAGTTTATCAATACTGAATAAGAAGAAATATTTTAACTTACTCATATGAAGTTGATTCCATCAAACGACTTGTCTTCATAATATATTCATCCTCTTGAAGTTGATTCCACCAGAAACAAAGCCAGACAATACCATTTTCTTGCTCCCTTGATTTCCATAATTATTGGATGAAGCTGAAGCAGCAACAAAGCTGCTTTTGAACTAAGGCATCACTCCTGTCCTAAGCGACTTAACAGTTGAGCCAGTAGGAGGAGCAACAAACATGTCCCTAAATTTGGTTTTTGTTTTGATATCGGTCCCTGAATCATGTAAAGTAACTTTTCTAATTTCCAATTTCCAATTTCCACCCTTGATTTGTTTTTTTTTTTATTTTTTTAATACTGTTTTAAGTTTATATTACTAATAAATACAAAGCAGCATAACATAAGACATGAATGACATACCCCGAATCAGGTTTTTTGGGAATATACACATCCCATACAAACCCAGCTGTTGAAAACATTTCTTTTATCTCACTAACATCCGCCTGTATTCATATTTCATAATTTAAAACCAAAATTAAAAAAAAAACACTTGATAGATTAGATACTATTCATACTATAAGTTAACAATCAGTGAATTTAATTTACCTTAAAAGGAAGATTTCTTATTATAAGCTTCCATTTCTGTACCTTGGAACCCTAGTAAAGAAAAAAACGCATTACATGATCACAGGTAACAAACAACATATAAAATATAAACATTTGAGGCTTTTAGTGAAATTTTTTAAAAAGTTTATCAATCTTAAATAGAAGCTTACTTCTCCACCTAATTGTCATGCCCAAATTGTGCCTGCATTTAAATTTTTTTGATGTAATTTTGCCACACAAGCACGAGCTGATTTGATACTGGTGTAAACTATAGATGAGGATCCCAATCTGCATCCATCTTGAAAAAACCCTGAAATATGTAACACTTGTGTATTATAGAATTTTTATTTCTTGTGTGTTTTATGAGCAGAATTACAGGTGTCCTTACCATGATATGTTGTTTCATCTTTACGAAGAGGGTAAGTAATGGAAGAGACTGACCCACACTCCCTAGCAATACTGTGAACCTCCTCTGCCATGTCAGCATTGAGGAGCCCACCAATTACAACTGTCCTTGCAACCCTGTTTATCATATCAATAACATGGAATATTAAAATATGGTATAAATGAAATCCAACAAATGAAATGATATTAAAAATTTAAAATACCTCTGTTTTTCTGAAGAAATTCCTTCTACACGTTCAGTTTTCACAGGGATCACTTCTTTATTCTTTGGTTTCTTGATTTTGTCTGCATATATAGGGGGGGGGGGAGAATTACTTATAGTATTTTGTACCAAGTTTTTTAGTACATTTCAATAGCATAATTTTATAGATACTACAAACTTACAACTAGTCTTTTGTACTATTTGAAGTCTAACCTTTTTCTTGAGAATCAAGAGCTTGTTAATGTTCTACTAATGGTGCTGACAAATCATCCTTGTAGAGTGGGTGATCCCAATAGCATCCTTAGCTAAGCTACTCATCTACATACCCTTCATTGAGTTGTATTTTTGAATATATCTTTTCTCCATTAACAATTCCAGAAAAGCAGAACACAGTTTGGTCAGAGGAGGAAGACTATGAATATCATCTCCCATGGCCTCTCTAAAACCCACATCACGCTCTCTGCAACAAATGCTTCAATTGCTTTCCTCCTCAATCTTCAGCTCAGGTAGCTCCCCATACATGGACACATACCCCCAATATGATGCCCTATTCAACATTTAAAAAAAACTGCATATTATATTCTTTCTACTAATTATATAAAAATGGATGATCCTTTGACCAAGTCATACCTGTCCCCTGTTCCATTGTGTCCTTAAATTTACGTTCATATGTCTCTTCCTCTTCTTGGCTATTTGGGTTAAAAATAACATACTCATGATCACCATTTACATATGCAACCAATTCTCTACTGCTTCTGCTTCTTTGGATAAATGCAACCCCCTCCCTTTGCCTGCACATACATGATACATACATTATTATGGAGGCTGGGGGGTAACCTAACTGGGGTTCAAACATAAACTAACCACACAGGTTCATGTATGTTCATTTATCACTGTTGATTTGTGGTTAGATAGCTCGTATAATTTAGTAGTGAACATTATGAGAATGTTGTTTGTTGTTTTTTTTTTTTTTACCTTTTTGACAAACCGTGAAGCAATAGGAATAGGGTGTTCAACATTGAATAGTAGGATTTCCCCATTCGTAGTTCCACTTCCAGTGGTGTTGTGAGTTTTAGATGCTGATTCAGGGAGAACAACAAGCACAACAAAAAGGGAATCTTTTTCTAAAAATGCTATACCTGCACAACAAAAAGGGAATCTTTTTCTAAAAATCCAAACCAATCCACATAATTTGGACAAAAAGATTTCCCAACATTTTGAAGAAGTGCCTTTATTTCCAAACCAATCCACATAATAGGGTCTTCTTCTATGATGGCATTGGGAGTGGCTGGTAACCCAAGGGATCTTCTTGATCTCTCTAGTGGCAACCCAAGGGTTCTGTCCCATATTAGCTGTCAAAGTCAAAAAGAATACCATTAAATCTGAACAAACATAAGTTATACCAAATTTACTGATGAAGGGATGAAGTTATACCAAATTTGTTTCTTCAAATGTACAGTGTGTGGGTTATAACTGTGCAGGTTCTTCAGGGAAAGTCTCAAGGAAGCTTTCAAGAAGCTCATCAGCATTATCAATTCTTTCATCACCTTCACCAATTATCCAAATCATCAATGCCTATTAAAAAAAAACAATTATTAGTAAATTTCTACATAAAGCAAAAGAGAGAGAGAGAGATTGTAAAATTTAAAACAATTATTTTACTACAGACACAATAAATGATCTAATTAACTGCTCTTGATTGTGATGCCAAAACCAAATTGAGAAGGCAGAAATACAAAAACTAACTATCAATTAAATCTTAATCCACCCCACATGAATTGGTCATCAAAATCTGGAATCTGATATACGAGTTCTTTAAAGGATGTTATTATCGTGTCTTAATTTTCGGCCCCTAAAAACATAGACAGGGCATTATGCCACACCAAGCTATGCAATCAAAACTGTATTGAAGATGCTACCAGAAGAAGAACCTGAAATCGTATGCCAATAATATCTACTGAAAACTTCTCCCTACCTACGGACCAATAACCCTATGGATCTGGCACAGTAGAGCCTTAATTCAGATTCAGATCAAAATCAAATTATCATCCAAGGTAAGAAATTGAACAAGGATAACAGTAGTTGTGATAACTTAATCGACCTATCAACCAATAACCTGATGCATCTGCCATAACCATGATCGAAGATAATAACATACAGGGAGAAGCTGGAATTATCGTCATGACCCACTTGGATAGTAATATATAATCTTTAATTTCTTCCAGATATAAACTAATAACCCTATCGATCTGCCACAGCAAGTGGATTCGTAGATAAATTCTTAATTATAACCTGCATCTCCTCATAGAAGAGACCATAAAAAGAACCTGATAACGCTTAGAACAACATAAGAGAGGAAGAACCTGGAAATGCCTGATCATAAAGATCTGATCTTTGAGATTGAAACTATCGACAGATCAAATCTAAATTACAGAGCGTATATGAACCTGCAAACCTTTGTGGATTAAGATTTTCCATGAAGACTTTATAATCATTAACCATCGATCAAAAAAACAAATCCTCCAAATCAAAATATCAAAATATAGAATATAACTAAAGATTTGTGAAGGGATTACGACCCGTTTTAGATAAACATCAGCCATAAAATAATCTTCCTGTTGGTCGAGCATTCACAGCAAGGGGACCTCTACGAGGTGGCCCTGTTGGTCTTCCACCACCAAATGATCTTCCTTGACCTCGACCACCACCACCACCACGAGCCCTACCTCTCCCTCTATCTCTAATCTTCTTCAAACAGATTTTGGTGCGAGACTGAATCAGCTGCTGATGCAATCGTATACGAATCGACAAAATCAAGCAATTGAAAGAACTGTTATAGGATCGTTGGTGATCTAGGGTTCGAGCATGAGAAAGAACTGTTATAGAGATGTAGCAAGGTACGAGGTGAGATCTAGGGTTCGAGCATGAGAAAGAACTGTTATATAATCGCTGGTGATTGGATTTCATTGGAGGGTGGAGATGCAGAAGAAAGAACACGCAGTAGAGAAAGGCGGGGCAAGTTCTTCACAAAAAGCCCTAGCTCCGATTGGATTCCGGCATTGACAAGGCCTTTGACGCCGGTTTTTGTTTGGTCGAAATCTTTGAGCTCTGATTGTCGATCGTAGCTTGAGCCCGCTCAAGCAATGGTGGCAGCCATTTTTGTGAAGATGATCGTGTTATATATGCGAAGGTATTCTCTAGAAAGGTGAGTGAGCATCCTTGCAATTGTGGCCCTATGAACGTAAAGTGTTTGATTTCTTGTGAGAAATGAAGCGATAGAGATCGATCTATGGAGGATGTGGGTCGTTCTTTGAGGGATGAAAAAACCCTAGTTTCTTAGACTTTTTGAGTACGGGGTTTTCTAAATTTTAGATTCCCGCGAGGTATTAAGGATGGAACACGATGTTTGATGAGATCGATAATGAGGTCAGGAGTGGCGGGGAAGCGGATCAGAGAGGAGAGAGAAGGAGGGAGCGAGAGGGGAGAAGATGAAAGATAGAAAGAAGGTAGAGACGACTTGTCAAAATTTTGGGGATTTCGTTTCCCACCTCTACTAAACGCGCCTTTTCATTAAAATTATAAAGCGACAAATATAGAGGACGCACCTTTAAAATAAAGCGCCCTCCGTGTTTTTAATTTCTTTTCGTGAGACACTAATTTAAGGGCACTCAGTAATGCGCGACCTAAATTCTTAAATTTTTTGAAGAGATGACTCTTTTTTAATGTCGCTCTCTAATGCGTAACATAAATCAAAGAGCGTCAGGTTTTGCACGTCGTAAAAGGCTGTTTTTCTAGTAGTGAAAATTGAAAAAACAATAAACTTAGTGTTAAAAAAAAGTGAAAACTTAGTGTATTTTATGGGAATAAAATTCATTTTTGACACGTCATCATGTCACGTCAATAGGTAATCTAGTTGACCAGTCAAGTGGTCAGAAATATAACATAGTGTCAAATTTGAGACAAAAAAAAAACAGTATCCAATTAGAATTTTTGTATAAACTTAATGCCGTTTTTGTTATTTACCTTAAAATATGCTTAAAATAGCATCTACCAATTCTTCCCTAGCTTGAACTTTAGTTTCCCTCAAGTAATAAAAGATTAAACAATGTAAGTGAAATGGAAAGATGCATGTGACATAAAAAGAACTTAAATTGAAAACTAAAACTAAAAGAAACTAAAATACCTGAACTAAAAGTAATTCACTATTTTTTCGCATGATTAGGCTTAATACCGAGGGACGTTTCCATGGAATTATTACCGAAACGATCATTACAATACCATCCATCTTTCACAGATTCCCAAAGTCAGGAAGAAACTTGACGGTCCGAAACAATAAACCAATTGTGACTTTTATTTAAACTTTATACATTAATTAGCCTTGCAAGCGAAAATAACATATTTCAGAATTTCATGTTCTCAAGACTAGATAATTAAGAACCAGGATCGACGCATCCTTAAGAACCTATCATATCAAATTAGCTTTCGTTGAAGCAATGAGCCCACCGGTAGGGCCCAGCTCCTATGCTTTCACTTTTCGAGAACGATAATTAGCATATCACACAACTCTATATCCATGCCATATTTGACTTTCATATTGCCTCTTAATTGATTGAACTTGATTCTTTGTATTTTTGCCTTCGGCTTCCAGTTCTTCAATTGTCTTTTTGAATTTCTTGAGATGACTTCGATTAAGTACTTGAACTTTAACTTGGGTATCAGATTTGACAATGCGTACCCTTCTTCTGTTTATTACTATGTGGATATGATATAAGTCTCTCTTTTACCGTGAACGTAATGCATGTCAACAAATAGGTTTGTGTTATGTAGGTTCAGACATGTCGATCAAGGTTCTTTTAAAAGTTCCAAAGTAAATAATTCTGAAACTATTATTACCGCCCACGCAGTGTTTCGGTATGCCATTCTTTTTATTTTTTATATCCAGCGTCTCAGATCACAGTGTTTTGTCTTTTGTGATCCCCAGTTATGAGAACTATTACTGAACTTACCATTGTTGACTCGATGGCTTTGGACTTTCATTTTCCATTTACACAGAGCTATCGAATGCAAGAATGTCATCATATCATGTAACTCTTTTGTTTCCTTTTTTATGTAGAAAGTAAACACTAATGTAACCTGAAATAAAATCTTTTAAGGTGTTTTTTTTATGAATGTTGAAAACAAAAATAAAAATAAAAACATAAACATAAAATAATGTTTTTTTTTTGTTTTTTTTTATGCAAATGCAATGCAGAAAACAAAATGCAAAAAATAAAATTCAAAATTTTAACTGGAACTCTGAAAATTTTATAATTTTTAATCAAAAATGCAAATTTTACACCAACCCACTCGCCACATTTAAAATGATGGATTGTCCTCAATGCTCGGAGAGGAATGAATAGTTCTATAAAACATGTAAAAATAAAAGGTTGCTACAAGGAAAGATTGTACCTGATAACTTTGTAGAAATTGTTGATTTTGATGAAGATTTTGCAGAAAAATCTGAAGTTCAACATCTTTGAAAATTCTCTGATTTCCCAAGCTTGCTTGAAACTGTGCTAAGTGGGAGTTTGCTGCGTCAAAGAAAAGAAAGCTATAAACCAAGGGGGAGATTGTTGGGTTAAAAATATGGCTTGTACTTTACTTTTCTAGGCAACTATATTTTTCAGTCCAGGACCGTAAACATCCTGGTGTTTACGAATGTATGGGTGTTCACGGCCGTGAACCTGTTTATGGCTGTGAACATGTTCTCGGCCACTATATATACATGTAAGGGTGATGAGTCAAAAAGGGGCTAATTATTTGTAAATCAAGGTGTTCCAAAGACAGAAAGTTAGAGAGAAGAAGAGTGTGTATATGTGTGTGTGAATCATGAGTTGAATCATCATCCTAATCATACAAACATTGAAGATTCATCAACTTCATCTTCTTCTCCTTTTTCCATATTTGATCTTGCTTCATCCACTTGATTGGGATTCCATACCATTAATTGGATCTGGTTGATACATCAAGAAACATTTGGGACTTACAGTTGGTAGTGTCAGTTGGAGTAATCTTCACTTTTGTGATATTTCAAGCTTGGTTGCTGGGTTTCTGCATTTGATCGGGAAGTACAAGGCCAAAGGAATAGAAATCAGCTCAAAATCATTTGTTTTCATCATAATTTGGGTGTTTATGGTTTCATTTGGTGAATTGTGTACAGCGGTGAACACTGTGTATGGCCATGAACCACTCATCCAAATTGACTGTTAACCTCTCATTTGACCGTAATCAATTCATTGACCATGAACCATTCCTTGACCGTGAACCATTCATTAACCGTTAACCTCTCATTTGATCATGATCAACTCATTGGACTGTGAACCATTCATTAACCTTGAATCATCTCTTGTGTACGACCGTGAACCCTGTACGGCCGTGAACCTCTCTTGGTTATAGAATCTCATTGTTTTCGGTTGACTTTTCCTTACAAACTTTTATTTTCAGTCAATTAAGAAAATCATATAAAAATAAAAAATGGAATCACAAAACTTTACAGCTCATCAGGAATTGGACTCGATTATGGGAACCACTACCAGAATCCCACATCTTCTGTCAACAGAAGGTTTCCTGGAATGGAAATACTAAATGGAAAAGTACATCAAGATGAAGGACTTGAAGATTTGGTGCACTATTGTAAAGGGTCCAATCAGAATCACTACCACTCTGGAGAATGTAACCATTGTCGACAAAGACTTTGCAAACTACACTGATGAAGACCTCAAGAAAATCGAGGAATAAGATAAGGCTCTGGCTATGATTACGATGGCATTATCTCCGGAGTTTGCTCAAGGTTTCCATTAATACGAATCAACCAAAGATTTATGGGAAGCTTTAATTGAAGTGTATGAAGGAAGTGAGGATATGAAGCACAACCGTTAGGATATGGTTAGACAAAAGTTCAATATGTTCAATTACATACTTGGAGAAATTTTGGAGGCTCAACTACAGTGTTTTATCACACTCACCTTTGACATGAGTTCATTCGTTTATCTCAGTATGAAGATCAGAAATCAACAAGAAGCTGTTTAACTCTCTCCCAATATCATGGTACATTAATGTCTTAGTCATCAAGAAGAAAAAATATGTGGCAACCCGAAATTTCTATTATGTACGAACATATCATCCAAATAGAAGTCAAAACAGTTGCTGTTAATTTTCAGACCTTTTAGAATAAGGGTGAGTATTTCAGGATTTAGACTTTAAGAGTTATCAGG